CTTACGGCATAAAATCTCATTTGAAGACGGAGAATAACATTTATACGGAAGTATCTTTATTGACCATACAGTTTTAGCAAGAAATCGGTGTATTTGTCAAGATAATCATAGTTTTGACCCAACAAAAGACAATCATAATAAAATTATTTTATACCGGACAGAAAAAAATTAATGTCCTTACTTGAAAAAAAACTCTCCAAGTTGGAGTCTACATATTGCTCTTAAATAGATAACAAATGTCCCGACAGTATACAAACAAATACCACAGAGAAAGATAAGCTTAGTAGAAATCTAGTAAAACTGAAAATATGGAGAGAATAACTCCACTTGTATTACTTGTTAGCCTAGTTCTCATGTTTGCTTCAGGTATTATTATGGAGTATCTCTCAATTATTATGTTTATTTTTTATATATTATGCATTTTTCATAGTTTCAAAAGTTCTTTAATATAATTTTGTGATCACATTTTTCTCATATTTTATGGTAAATTTAATGATGTTTACAATGTTACAGTTGTGAATCAGACTAGAGCAAATATATGTATCGATGGACTCGGAACTTGCGAAAACTGCGACCAGAGATGCAAGTCCAAACACGGGCCATCAAGCCAAGGCGACTGTAGTGACTACTCTATTGGGGTACCTCTGTGCAGGTGCCACTACCAATGTGGACCACCCTCGCTGACTCCACTCAATACTTGCAATGGTGTGGCCGGTTTATGTAGTCAAAAGTGTCCGGAAAAATGTTGCGATATTAACTGTGCACTTAAGTATACAAGCGGAAGTGGGTTTTGTAACACCCTCGGTAATTCTAATGTTTGCCAGTGCAATTATCCTTGTTAAAGCTGGCTGAAAAAATTGTAAACCGACAATTTTTATGCATGACGATGATAAAACAATAACAATTTCCATTATTATTGGGTTGTGGATGGCGTAGTTTTTATGAAAGAATTGATCAACGTAGCTAATTTTTTTTATTACATATTGTTTAGTTTCTGGTGCAAGCAGATGTTTGTAATCACCAGAATTTATGACAATATATTTCGAGACATCGCGACTGAACTTATAATATGCAAAAGATTACGACCCAATAATATTTTAAGCACACATTGATGCCTCCCCTGAAATTTATATATTGTGAAACAACGAAAAAATGCTCTATAACTTATTTTCCTGGAGAATACATGAGTGGTTTATTACCGGTCAATAAATAAAAGTACAACTTTGAAAGTTATTAGATTATTGTCCCGCATATACATTTGACTGAACCGGTGGCGGAGCCAGAAACATATTTGACCGGGGTCATAAATGAAATAATAAAATATGTATTAAATAAACATAAAATATATTGTAGAAACATATACAAAATAATTGTGTATACACAATAAATTTAAACAATAATTAAGTGGTTGCATATAAAATACTATTTCTATAAATTTCATGCTGTATGATAATTTTTATTTCATTAATTTGCATTGCATTATTATTTACTTAATAGGTTATTTAGAGAAAAGTAATGAAATGAATTATGTTTTGAAAACAAAAAAAGTTATATAAAAATTATAAGAATAAAAGGATTCAGGATTAAAAAAAAATAAAGTATATTATCATAAATATAAAATATTAGTAATGAAAGATATGAAATAAGAGATCTAGTCATAAAATACATCATGCAATAAACATATATCAAAGACAACAGAAGAAAAAAGAAAGAATACTCATTATAAAGATCGTAGAACTAGACTAGGTTCAATTGTTTTTTTCTTTCAAAGAAAATGAAAAAGAAGAATCGAACTTTGATGGGGTCATACAAAATATTTATAGGGGGTCATTTACCAGCAGAACCAACATAATTTTCACATTTCTTTACTAACTAAAATATTTATTAAAATCTACTGGGGTCAACTGACTCCCCTCCCATTCAACTAGCTCCGCCCCTGGACTGAACCGTTTACATGAAAACGGGAAGCCTGATGAAAGACCGGTCACCACTCATCAAAAAGACAAAAATGAGAAAGTTACAGTAATTTTTCGGTAAATTGTTTTTTTTTTTAATTATAATGCTAGAACTTTGATAATATATTTGAAGTATGTTTTTATGTAAAAAAAAGAACAGTACTTAATTTATGGTATATGTCTTAATTGAATTTTACATATATAAAATTATATGTTATTCTTATTCAGTTATTTGATATATATATATAATACATATCCTAAATGTAAATAGAATTTCAAATGTAAATGGCAAATAAAACAAATATACTATTTAAAAAAAATGTTAAAGATATATTTTCATATGGATGAACATAAACTCTACAACACATAGTTATATATATATATATTTATGTTTATATTAACAATATATACACATATAAAAAATTTAAAATATTATTTTAATAAATCGTATCATAATTTACACGGATCCAATTCAAAACCTGATGAAAATTATCAACTTTTAGAAGAACTATTCTCTCAAATGATCATAAAATATATTTTTCACTAAAACGGTTCACAAAGAGAAAAATGACCAAAATATATTTTATTAAAGAGGTAAAATATCACCCTACTTTTATTTTGATAGATTTTTATATATATTATTATTTAAATAAATAAATAATAAACTATTTTTTATAATAGTTTTGAATAATACGATTTTGAATTCGAATTTTTTAATCTATTTTTAATTTTCCAAAATTTTGTTTTGAAATTCAAAAGTTTACAGTATTTTGGTTTGGGGATGACTTACTTTTCAACAGCAAATATCAAAACTCGTAAAGTCAAAAACAAAAACCATATTGATGAATAAATGATTTTGATTGACAAAAAAATAGTTCTATGTTTAATTTTATCCTTTTAAAGGTGTTGTTAGGCCTGGGAAACCGGGGTTTCAATTGGGTTTTGGTAGAGGTTATCATTTATTCGGGTTTCGGATTCTCGGGCTCATAAATGATCAGTTTCATTCGAATATTATAAAAATTCGAACCGGATTCGATTGGTCACAATTTAGTCGGTTCGGTTCGAGTTTAGTTACACGTCCATGATCCGGTTGAATCTATAACAATTTCAGTTTCAGATAGTAATCAGCTTATCGATCCAAGAAATACTAATTTCTACTTGATAAACTGAATATATTTTCAATCATTTCAATAAATTTGTGTAATTAGCTTCTTCGAACCATATTGTTGTCCTTCAAAACAATTTTTTGAAACTCGTCCATCAACTATACATGATTTATTGTTGAACTATATGTGACAATATTAACATATCATGATTCATGACAAACCAAATCCTTGTACAAATGAAAATCACACATAATGAAATATAAAAAAAAGTTAAAGTTCATAACTATCAATCCTATAAATGTAAGAAACATTATTTAAACTTTAAAAACAACAATATTGTTTAAACATCAAAATAAATTTATTCATAATTAAACTTCAAATGCAATGTCAAACATAAAAGTATTAAGATTAACCAAATAAAAATATATGTTAGCCTAAATATTTTAGTTAATTATTTATGAATAACTAATTATTGTAGGTATTCAATAATATCTTAATTTGTTTTAGATTCATATTAGAAATGAGATTGGTTATGGTACAAGTTCTTTTGGAATTTTGAAGTTTCAAGTTCTTTCAGATATCCATTTAAGGTCGGTTCGGGTAAAACTCATAACTCGAAATATCGTAAAACAAAATTCATTCGGTATTTATTTTGGGTTTGGATCGGTATGGATTCATTTCTATCGGGTCAGATTCGGTTCGGATTTTCGAGTTTGGTTTTTGCCCAGTTCTAGGTGTCGCTATTCGTTAAAAATAAATATACAGTAACATCTCTATAAATTAATACTGGATAAATTAATAATCGCTAGAAATTAATAAGTTTTGTCAGTCCCAACTTAGACTGGTTCAAAATTTGACATAAATCAATAAAATAATAATATAATAATTTTTGAAAAATTCTATGTAAATATATGATCCTATTAAATTATAAATTAAGAATTTCTAGGTATACATATTTTATATAAGTAAGAACCTATCATTATACTGTTTGTATTAAATTCACAATAAAATTATCTTTATATTTTCTAATATTTAATATATTTTTAATGAGATTTAGTAATATATATCTAAAATTACTTTTAAATTCTATGTAATATATATTATGTACACCAAATAATATAGTATAATTAATATAAATGTAAAATTTCAAAAATAATAATAATAATTAATGTCTATACACTAGAATCAAATACTTTTTTTTAGTTTAGAATAAATATATCTTGTTGCTCAAAAAAGGAATAATATAAAAAAAATCTAGATATATTAATATCTCTATAAATTAATAAAATTTTAAAGTCCCAACTTTATTATTTTATAGAAGTTTTACTATATATTATGAATTCTAATAGGGATTTTAAGACCCAACTTTTTTAGGTCCAGATCATCATCTATTTCTCTCACACTTACGCAGAGCCGGCCCTAGCATCAAGCGAGTGAAGCAGCTGTTTGCGGCCGTTTATTTTATCAGTAAGTTCCGGCCACCTAATTTGTATTGTCCCTTTGGTCTAGTGGCAATGCACACATCACTCACCTTCTTCAGGTCACGGGTTCGACCATTACAGATCCGGCCACATATTTTTTTGCTTCCAGTCTTAAATATTCTAGGACCGACTCTGCACTTATGGCATAAAATCTCATTTGACGACCGAGAATAATATTTATACGGAAGTATCTTTGTTGACATACAGTTTTAGCAATAAATCATATTGGATATTTTTTTTCCTGTTTTATTTTAAGCATTCAAGACTCTTATTTACTTATTTAGCTATCTATGTGTAGTAAATATCATGCTATTTGAGAAATAATCAGTAAAATACAAATCTATTTATTTTGAAATCTTTAGTTTGTTATAAAATAGATGATTTAATATTCCCCAATGACATACAAACAGTTTACCCCAGAGAAAGAGGTTTAGAAGAAAACTAGAAACTTGAAAAAAATGCAGAGGACAACTTCACTTATATTCCTTGTTCTTATCATGTTTACCTCAGGTATTATTTTTCATATATTCGATAAACTTACTCTTTCATATATGATTATGTGATCACAATAACAAATTTTGATACTGCCGAGAATCAGTTCAAAAAAAAAAAAGATGTTAGAGTAATTGTAATATGATGGCTTTTTGGAAGGATTAATTTCTTAAAGGAAGGGATGTAAGATATAATATGTGAAAATCATTAAAAATGTATATATCTTACAGTACATCGAGAATAATATGTTTAATGTAATAATTTTTTTTTAATAATGTATACAAATGTTGCAGTTGTAAATCAGAGTAGAGCTTCAATATGCTATGAGACTCTAGGAATTTGTGATTTAAACTGTAGCCAGCGATGCCAGGCCAAATATGGACCATCAGTTCATGTCCAATGTACGAATGGGCAGTGCACATGCTTCTACCAGTGTGGACCACCGCCTAAAGTGTGCTATGGTGGGGCTGGTTTCTGCTCTGACGATTGTAATGGGGACTGCTGTAATATGAATTGTGCAAACAAGTATCTTGCTGGACATGGATCTTGTCTCACGCTTGGTAATATTAATTTGTGCCAATGCGAGTACTCTTGCTATAATCAGTTGATGAACTTGTAAACCAGTTGGATTTCTTTGATTATTTCTAATATGCGATGATTATATAAAACTATTCTTATCATACTTTTGGTTTGTGGACGGACTTTCTGTGAACGGGAAATGAATTGATTTGGTAAATTTTGTAGGACACGATATAGTTTTGTTTGTTTTCTTACAAACAGTGATCAACAAAAATTCTCACATCCAACAGAAGCTGAACGCATCCAATTAAAAATATACGAATAACCATTTAGTCCTTCATATCCAAAATATATTTAATACTAAGATAATATAATTCAAACCAAATTTACCATACCAAGTCCAATCTTATACCAAACCATAAAAAAAAAAAACTGAAGTTGCAGCATTTTTACCATGATTACTACACATGTTGTCTCTTCATGGTGAACCACTGCACATTAATAAATTCAAGTGTCACAATTACCAAAGGAAGCTGACAGCGTTTCTGAAGAATAAATTTGTTTTTAGAACAAAAATGTACCTGGAAAAATAATCTTTCCCAAAGCCTCTCAAAAGGAAATGGACCAGGCGTCAAGAACATGAATGCTATCTTGGAATCCCTTCTTATAACAGGAACATTACTCATTATTTCTCTAATCACTACTCTTGCAGCAATCTCATCATCTCAATACTCCCTGGGAAGAGGTGGAAGCCAGTCAGATAAAGCCTTGCATCCCCTTGAAGAAATCATATAACAAGCACGTTTGCTGTTATGGGGGTACATGTAAGCCATTATAGCCAACATTGTGATCAGTGAAAGCGTCATGATGATCAGTGAAAGCGCCATGATGATCCATAGTCGTCTTCTTGCAGGAACACGGTGGCGAGCTCCAGGTAATGACGCTAGGTTTCCTACGCTCCACCTTTTAGCTGCCTTCATCTCTCATCAAACCTCTATTCTGCAAAGACACAAGGAGGAATGAGAACCTGAATGGGATGAATCAGATCCAGTCACGACACAGGATTTATATTATATTTACCAGCTTTGTTTATCACCCCGGTATTAATAGCCATAATTATACCACGACACAGTATTGACTCGATCCTAAGGTGCTTATACTTATTTTATCCCGCAGGTCCCTCCCAGAGGTTTCGCCCACGGGTACCTCGTGTTAGGCTACTGTCCCGTGGTCCCCTGCGGGTACCTCTTGTTAGGCTACTGTCCCGCAGGTTACACATCCTAGATTCTAGACGCACACCCGTTCATGGTGGTCCAAACATGACTTCAAACAAGTTCATTGACACGACCACATTCTCATTCACTTTCTCATTCTCATCATCATTCTCATTCTCGTTCTCATACTCATTATCATTCCCATTCTTATCACTTAAACTCATTCTCATCCTCGTTCTCAATTCACTTTAACTCATTCGCACACCCTTAGACTCATACTCAACTTTAGACGCCACCCGTTATCGCTGTCCCACACAATAGGCATAACATTCACATTCTCAAATACTGAAGCCAAACGACATCTCATTCATATTCATCTATCTTTCACTTTATATACCAATGGTTCTTACTTTACATTCATCATTCATAATAGCTGATAACAATTAAGATGTCTATCATCTTAAGCATTCACTTCTTTCTACACTACAAGAAATATTAACATTCTTAGCTCATGATTAACGCTATAGTAGGTATTTCATAGCGTTTTACCATCTGCCATGTAATCGGCAGCCATCATAGATACCCCTTCTAAGATAGCAGTTTCGGTGACGTTATCTAATGTGTTAATACGATAGTAATAAATGAATGCAATTATTAACGCAACTATAACTCGACTTTTCTTTGTTACAAATTGATAAAAATTTATATAAAAGATCTTTCTACAATAAACCAAAAATAATAATAATTAAAAATAAAGTAATCAATAATTAAAGCGAAATTGTTATATATTGAAAATAAATATTTTTTAAAAAAAAATTTAAATTGGTTAGGGTGCACAAGGTATAATATATATTAACCATATACTATTTATCATTGATAATATTTATGATAATGAGCTCGAAATCGTATAACAATAACATTGTATAATTTAGACGTTTATGAGTGAAGACGTGGTTTTCTGTCCAGAGGTAATGAGTTCACATACATAGTCATTGTAATATTCTTGACAAATATCTCAAAACTTGAGCCCTCTTACTAATCACAAGGATGTCGTCAAAGAAGACAAGGACGAACTTGCGTAAGTACTCACGAAATACCTCGTTCATGAGTGACTGAAAGGTGGCTGGCGCGTTGGATAGTTCAAATGGCATTACAATTGTAATTATATTTCGGTACACGTTCTTCTCTTCCAAATTTTCATTATAAATTTTATGCTTGCGTTTAGCCCGTGAATGGTAAAGGAGTAAATATATCCTATTCAATATTAATCAAAATAATTAAAAAATAATAATAATTTGGTACAGACAGAATCAATAAAATGTTCATTCTATTTTATTTTAAAATAACAGATAATTATTTTCTTAGAGAATTGGTGGAATAAACGATTTTGGAATAAAACTGATAATTTAGTTACAGCATACAATGTTTGTTAATGAAAAAAATAATCAGATGTATATCCCTATATAATAAGATAAAGAGGATTACTTTCAAATATTATTAAAATAATTTTAAATCCAAAAAATAACATAAAGGTGAAAATCACAATCTATCATTCTGTAAAAAAATAGATATATTTAGCCTTTTCTCAAAAAAAAAAAAAATTTAAATGTTTAGAGTACGTTTTAATGTTCGGGTAATAATAATTTGTTTTTCCTATTTATATATTTTTTATGTTTCGAGTGTGGGTGTTAGTGTTTGGGTAATAAATTTTTATTTTTTTGCTATTTATATGAAAAAACTTTATTAGTATTATTAATGAAATTTGCCTAAAATAAGCCCAGTTTAAAATTCTAAAACAGTTGTAAGAGTTTTTATATAGTTGGAATTTTGAGTTAGGAAGACATTTGCATTACACTTTAGTAAATATTTTCGATTGCTTTCACTGAAAAACACACCAAAACTATTAAGTATGATGTGATGCATTAATTTACAAAGACAGTGCTCCAAATGAAACCTCAGACAAACATCTCAAAACTTGAGTGCTCTCTTTTCGGTTGTTCTTTCCGAGTTTTATGTGATTGGGTAGACTAATGGAAATCTCTATGTTTCCTCTTTGATTTATGTTTTTTCCTTACTCATAAGTGGTAGCCATATGCTGTAGACGAAAATAGAAAAACTTACCATTTACCATAACAAACTATTAAGTTTAAAAGATTCATTCTTTGTTATTAACCAGAAGAAATAATTCTTAAAAAAAGAATTAATAGCAAAACAAAAAAAAACAAAAAGAAGA